TGGGGAAGCTGGCAGGGAAGGGCAGAAGTCACTTTGGTAAGTTGCTCACACTCTCCCCTGTCCATCAGCAGCCATCTCTGGCCCTGCTGGACTCGCACGCACCTCACCAGCGACCCATGCAGCCTCCCCTACCCAGCAGCAGCCACGTGCCTGCTGGTCTGCTTGTGAGCTGCCTGGGACCTGTGACTTCCTGCCAGCTTCCCCATTGACTTTGCTTGTGGGAAGTCGGCAGGTTAGCTGCAAAATCCTTGCTTAACTCGTGATCCTCACTTAATGATGGAATGGTGACTGCTGGAATTGCTATCGCTAAGTGATGCGGTCACATGACTTCGCACTGTACAGCCACATTGCTTAGTGATGGAAATTCCTGTCCCAATTATCATAGTTAAGCAAGGACTACCTGTAATTCTCATATGGAATTACATTTGAATTCAAAGTAATATGGAATTACATCTTCTACCTTCATCCAATAAATATGCAAAGGGTTTTCCACTTTGATTTTGAATTTTTCTCTAATAATTCAATAGTATAATGAATCAAGAGAAGATATTGGCCATGAATGGCCCAGTAAGAGGACAGTTTAGCTTTTATCACCACCAAAACATAACTTCAAACCCAAGTAAACCGAGGGAAGGTGGCAAGAAGGGGTAGAGATATTTTGATACAGACTGAGCTATTTTAATTTAATCAGCAGAAATGATACAGATGTTGAAGCACAGAAAGTTGGGGGGAAATGGGAGAACAATCTTTTTGCTCCATTTTCTATCCTTAATGTTTTCTTTTCCACAATCTATAATAAAGATAAAATACATAAAAAATAAGTGAATCATGTTTAGATCTTCTAACAGATCCAAACAGGATTTTTATAAATTGCCCTGGGGTGTTGGAATTGGCAGTTTATAGCTTTTTAAAATGAACTAACAGATAAAAATCAATCTATAAAAAATACATTGGATTCAATCTCCCACAAGGGTCCTTTCGACTGCAAGGAAGACTTTTCCCTTATAAAGCTTCTGATGAATGGAAGAAAACAGGGATCCTCCTGGTAGCTTTGAGAGAGGAAAGAGATAGCTGAGGGAGGTAGAGGAGGGGTGATTAAGGCTGAGCGCTTCCTCATGGCTAGTCTCTATCCTTGATCTGTAACTGGGGAGACCTCCTTTATGCCTTAATGGATTGTTTCAGAGATGCGCATACCTCAAGATCCATTTCTACCTTGACTTGCTTCCTTTGAGTTACAAGCTGCAGATGACTGGCTACATATGAGAATGTTCTACTTATTCAGAGGAACTTACTTCTGTCTAAACATGGTTAAGACTATGCTATAACTATTTCTATTATGTCCTCTGTTTGGGTTTTCTAAGGGGTTTTAAAAGCACAACAGTAGCTCAGGGACTGGTAAATGTTTTAAATTTCTGCTGTTCTACTAAGTCCACCATGTAGTATAGTAATGTGTTGTGTCTTTCAATCTGGTATTTCCCCCACAGAATCCAAGAAGAAATGTTCCAAGCCTTGGGCCCTGACTGGTTCCTGATGTTTATGCAAAGTCACATGCATGAAAGCACATTTATGCTGGCAGCCAAACTGTTATTCCATTTCCTGCACAATCGTACACACCTGCATAAGTTCAGAGAGGGGATGATGGCAGGCATGTGGCTGAGAAACAGCTTAGAGGGGCTGAATATTTTGACTGGTATGTCCTCAGTGTATTTAGCTTTCAGTTGGTTTGCAATATGATGCTGAGTTTTGCTGTGGATCAGTGATTTAAGTAAAGATGGGGGGGAAATTCCAAGGGAGGAAAACCATAAACTTTGGTCAGCTAATCAAAAATTAAGTTGGCTGGTCAGCTTGTAAAGCTGCCGTTTTAGTAGCATTCTTCAGCCTAATGTCCTCTGGAGTGCTTCTTTATTAGTACAGGAGAAGTGCAGAAGCCTGGTTGCAGAAAGTCCCATTCTGAGCCTTTGTCTCTCGCTCTCACTTCTTGTGCAGTATCTGAAAGTTGAAGGAAATGTGCAGCCGAGGAGTAACATCCTTCCCCTCTTCCCTTTGGTGTGTATTTCCTTCAGGAAGTATTGCCTGTACATCTGCTTTTAACATCCAAAATAGTGAGAGTGATTGTGTTATGTCCTCTCTTGGGAATGGGATGTATCCCTGGAGACCCCAGTTTTTTCCTGCAAAATAATGGCCAAAATAGTTAGGTCAGTGATTCCATGACTGATCATTTCATTACTTTGATTTATTTAACAATTTATTCCCTTGCTGATTTGTTGTTCTTTGATCCTGTAGATCAGTAAGTTGTCAGCCACTTCAGAGAGGAAATGTCTCTTGTTCTTTGTTTTAGACAATTTAAAGAGTTCTCCCCAGTTATTTGAGTGCCACTCATATCAGCTATCTGGATTAGGGGAGCTAAAGATGTTCCTGAGCAACTCCATCCACGTTCCTGAGATTTACTTTCTTCTCTCAGGACTTCTTCTGGATACACCAGTGTCTAAGCCACCAGATGAAACTAAAGTAAGTTTTGACATAGTAAAGTGTGAGAAATAGATTTGTAGAAGCTGAAATAGTTTATTGAACAAAGCAAAAGAATAGCAACTTTAACTGTGAGTATACTATAGAAGGGAAATCTTCACAGAAAAGGTAACAGAACAAGAAATGGCAATATTCAACAGAGGAATGTGAATATAGAACAGAATGTCATGTTCCTTTAACTGCTGAGAGCCAGTTTGTCAGAGACCGCAGCAGATGTTCCCCAGATTATACCAGCTAGAGTGCAGCACCTTTCCTGAGAATTGGATCTATGCTGAAGTTCATTTTTGGAAAGGGTTTCAAAACTTATATTCTATATTCTTACAATTATTCACAGTCCTGATTAAGCACATCTATTGATTATACTTCCTGCCTGTCAGGTATCAAAACTACATGAAACAGGATCAGCTCATACATTAACCCCACACTACAGGTGGTTGATCTGGCAGAGCACTTCTCAAAGAAAGAGACTTCTTGAGATAGGCTGCATCAAGAGTTGAGAAAACAGCTAACTAAGAGAAATAGCTGGGACTGGAGCCAAGGCATGCAAAGCACAAGAATACCGGAAAGCTTGGAGTTAAAAAAGGGTCACCATATTGCCATTAGAACAGTCTTTTGGAATGATACCACAGTCACCTAAAAACAAATTTGAAATATTTCTGAGATTGGTCAGAGTGATGAGAATGGTGGTGTTGCAACAGTCCTCCCAGCTACATGTCAGTATCTCTTCTGATGCTTGATCTTCTTGATTTCATTGTGGAAGTAAGCCCAGACCGTTCTTGGCAGTTTCAACTCATTCTCCTATAGGTTTGCAGATGGCTTGGGAATTTGTATGAGAACTGTGGGTTTCCCCCAGGTTGTTGGCCTGATCCACATAGTTGGCCACAAGTTAGACTTAGCATTTACCTTAGACTTGATGAAACAGGATCTGGTACTGGGGTATATTTCCATCAGCTCTTTGTTATAGTCAGATCATCTCCTTGTGACTGTGGGATTAACTCCAGGGAGGATAGGCTTATTCAGATGGCCCACCCCAAGTTCTGATGGCTTCTGAAGGTTTTCAGACAGCACTTGGGGAATTCCTCAGCAACACGAGGAGCAGCTCTGTTGAACTCCTTGTTGACCTCTCAAGTATAGAGACCAACGGCACTAAACAGGTTTGTTCCTGAGCAGCCTCAGGAATCCTTCCCATCAATACTGGGTGGCTTTTTAGTGCATCTCAAGGAAGTAGGCATATTCTTTGTTATTGTAGCTCTGCAATCTGTAGACTAAATTCTGGAAGATTAAAGTACCTAGGGAAGGAACAGGGATCTGGATCTAGGCTATAATCAACACCTCTCTTTTGGGGAGGTTGTAGAGAAAGTAGTTGGTGACAGGTGAAAGTAGTAAGGGACAGCTTTGAAAGAAGATTATTTTGGATCTCTGGCAGACAACTTCAGACACAGGCATGGGACCAAAACTGCATTGGTTATTCTCATGGATGACCTGTGGCAGGATTTGGAGGAAGGGAGTGCTAACAGCCTCATTCTGCTAGATTTATTGACAGCCTCCAGTACTGTTGCCCACAACATCTTCCTGGGCAGCCTGCAAGGTTTAGTAGTCAAAGGGACTGAAGTATACTATAGTAGTTTTGCTCCTTTCTGAGTGGACTTGTTCACTGGAGGGGAGCACTAGAACCAATGGGTTGAGGCCACAGGGAAGTAGATCAGGCTAGATAGTAGGAGGAATTTCCTGATAGTGAGAGATGTTAATCAATAGAATTAGGTTGCCTCATGAGGTGATATGTTCCCTTTCATCAGGTCTTCAAACAAAGACTGGGTAGCCATTTGTCCATAGGGCTTTAGCAAATTCTGTGCTGAAGGATTTAGTGAGGTCTATGATTCTTTCCTATGCAATCCACTGAATAAGAATTTCTAAAATTATTTCTTGAATTTGGGTATATACAGCTTATTGCAGCTTTCAGTTTCATTAGTTGATTTATTTCTTCCACAGCTAGTTAACAACCTGCATGTGCCTATTGATAAAACTGCCCAAAATGTGGGGGGTTTTGTACATTCAGGTACATCTAGTTTAATTCTTTGAGGTGATGATGTGCATATGCAAATTCTTGCAAAATAAGCCTCACAGAAAAAGAATGCTGATATAAGAAGTCATACTGTATCATTCTGGTTTCTTTGTTTTTTCAAGAATTTATTAAAGAATACTTTTCATTAACACAAAGAAACTTAAGGAAGAACAAATTGAGCAACCCACAGTGTTTTGTATTCTGCTTATCCACATCAAAGGAGTTTTTGTCAAAAGGACAAAATGTGTGTTGTGATGTCATGCTGCAAGTTCTGCTCCTTATTTACTTCTTTTAGTGTCATAAGAATTTGCACCGCAGTGTCTTGATTCACTTTCCTTCATTTGCCCCTCTTCTGCAGATGCCCATATTTTGGATATAATTTAGAAGTAAAAATCGCTTTGAAATCTGAAGTAATGCTAATGACAATTTTAGAAGTATCCTTTTTTTAGAATTCTAGATTTCCTCATATTTGCTGGAGAACACAGGCCTAATTGTTTCAAGAGAAGCAGTCCAGACATACTGCATATCTACTAGTGTTGTAAAGCTTGTACTTTGGGACACTGAAGTAAATTCTCTTTCTGTAGTTTCACAATATGTTCGTTTTTCAGGCAGGTTTGAATACAGTGTTACAGTGGCTGCTACACAACCACCTTACAGAGACGGTAGTCAAAGTTGGCTTATGTCCAGAAGCAGCAGTTCTGTTGCTGGAGATGGTGACATCCCTAACAAAGCGGGTAGGTGTTGTCCTGGGGAGGTTGAAGGATAGAGTTTGGCTGGTTGGGAGCAGCTGAGGGGCAAAGCAGTCCTAACAGCTTATTCATGTGTATTTACATAACTCTGAGGTCAGATTGTTTTGAAGATTCAGTACCACAAGGACAAAAGAAAAGAAAAGGGAAAAAAACCCAAAACAATATGCTGGTAGTCAGGAAATCTGGTCGGCTGGGTTATTTTTGGACACAGAAATTCCCCTCCTTGACTCTCTGGGCTTCTGCAGTATGGAACACATTTGTATGTGCACACATTTGTGTAAGACGCCAATCTCTGTTTGCCAACCAGGTCTCAGTTATATGCAGCAGTTATTCATAATGAAATTATGGGCAAGAGATCTTATTTGGAACTGACCTACCATTTAGCAGCAGCCAAAGTTGCTAGGGTAGTTAGGGTCCACTTAGTAGACCAGCTAAATGACACAACAAATGTGAGATGTTGATCACTCTTTTCCCTCAGAACGGTATCTCCACTTGCTCACAACAACATTAATAAGAGCCACTTCACCTCTGCCCCCCCCCCCCCAAATTATACAGCATCTTCCAGGCAATTTGAAGCAGGCACATTTCCTCCCTAAAAATCTTAGGCCCATCAATATGGTGGAACCTCTAGAGAACCAGAATGTCCCTGTTGCTGCTGGAACATGGACATCTTCAGCACTGTAGCAGGGAGAAGCAGGGGGCAAGTAAAGCTAAACTTTTCATCTCAATGGTGCATTCAGGGAAATCTGCACTGAACCACCCAAAACATTTTCTATCCTGAAACTAGGAATACCCTACCAAGATTTTGATGGGTAATCCACAGTGCAAGAATCACAGGGTCAGAACTCTTTGGTACATGCTAGGAGAAAATAGATTCTTTAACTGGAAATCTGCTGGCTTCAGTTACCCCATTTGTTCTACCCAAGGCCCCAACCAGGTTCCCACTTGGCCTCAGAAGATAGGTATTTTCCTTATAATCAATCAATCAATCAATCAATCGTACATAAAAAGATGTCTTTAACTGTCATTAATAAATTCCATAATTCACTTTTAAAGAATAGTAAGTATAGCTTTTTAAAGTACGTATTAAGAATATGTATTATTTTAAAGACATATAAATACATATAATTTTTTAAACTCAAATAAATGCAACTTATCTTTAAAAAAAAATTTATTTGAACCTTCATTATTATCTTTCCTGCTTTTGTCATTTTTAATCCCATGAAACATTGATACTGATCCAGCTTTTAGCAAGATGCCACTAACTAAGATCTAGATCCCTGCACTAATCATAGATATGGCTGAAATAAAAATAGCTGCCATGAGTTGGTTGCACTAGGGTTATCCATGGTTCACCTACCATCAAAAGGAAAAGTAAATAAGGGAAAAGATACAGACAAAAATTATGTGCATTGCCCATCTTCCTCAACTCATCAAACTAGGATTAACCAGATGCAGTTAGAGCTCAGATTTTCTCTCACTAGTGCACACGTGTGTATGGCACGTTAATGTCTCGCTATATGTGTTTTGACTGATTCCCTGTCTGCCTATATTAACCATTTTCACTAATATTCCAGAAACACTCTCAAGTCCTCAGGGCTGTGAGGACAGCCACCTGTTTATTATATCCACATCCTTCTACTTGTCAGGGTCTCCTAGGAGATGACATGGTGAATGCATCCTTGAGTGAGGGAATGAATCCCCAGGCCCTTAGGGAGTTAGTGATATGCTCCCTCCCTCAAGAAATCATTGCCAGACCCAAAGCTGTTGGGTGATTTCTGACCAGTCACCTACCCTTTTGCAGGAAAGTTTATGTGGGCCGTTTCAGTTATATTTCAGGCTTTGACGTATTATTGAGATGGCATTTGATCACACTTGTGGATAACTTCTGGCAGGCCCAGGATGGAGGTGGTGTATTCATCCTGGCCATTCTTGATCTTTTGGTGGTTTTGATACCATGAGTATGGTATGCTTGTGGACCAGCTCTTTATGTGTAGGAGGAAGAGGGAATGGCCTTGAGGGACAGGAGGACGAGCTGCTGCCAAGGCAGTGGTCAGATAAAAGAAACCTGAGTCCAGGGCAGGAATGTAACATCCGCAAACATCACAGACAAGTCCCTCCCTAATTCACATAAAGATAAAGGGATGGAAGGGGGAGCTGTATTCAGACTCGCAAGATTCTGTTCCTATAACTTTACAATAAAAGTAGTATTGGACTACATGATTTTGGTTTCCTAGTCTGGTCTACCTTGAAGGGCTGACAGTATACTATGTAACAGCACTACTACATAAGTTGCGCTGGTTACCAGTGAACTTCCATGTGCAGTTCAAGGTGCTGGTTGTCAGCTATAAAGCCCTTCATGGCACAAGGCCTGGATATTTGCAGGACCGCCTATCTCCAAGTATTTCTGCCCATCCTAAAAGATCTAACATGTCCCAGTCCATTGATCAAACAGTGCCATCCTATGGGGGATCCTGGAGTCACACATTCTCTGTTGCAGTACCTGCCCTATTGAACACGCTCCCTCCTGAGATTTGTTTGCCCCCAACCTGGCCAGTCTTTAAGGAGGTCTTGGTTCTCCCCTGAGGCACTGGACCAGGACAGTATATATGAGCCATTGTAATTGTAACTGTAGGTGCAGTGCATTTTATTTATTAATTTATTTAGCAAATTTTATAAATTTTATATTTTTCTTTTGCGTTGTAATGTTTATAACTCTTGTTGTTTGCCTAGAGTCCCTTGGCAAGTAGGTGGCCATATCAATCAAATAAACAAACAAACAAAAATCAGCAACCCCCTCCCCCAGCAAAAAACAGGATGGAACGAGGAACAAGAAAAGAAGGGGAAATTGCACTGAGAAAGGAAAAAGAAAGAATGACCAAAGAGTTAAAATTCAACAGCAAGAAGGCCCTCTCAAGCCACAATTGTTCTTCAAAAGTGTCCAAGCTTTTCTTTTTCTGCTATTATTTGTACCTTCTGCTCATTCCTTTTCTGTTCTCTCAGTGAATGTAAAACTTGCTTCCCCTTTCCCAGGTAATAATTAGATAATTATTTGATGGTATTGCATGACTAAGTTGTATGTTCTCTCTTAGATTCCAGCAGATGCAGGTGATTCTTGGGAAGCTACCTTCGTAAAGGACATCATGCATTTCATCTGTCTTGTGTATCACAGATACCCTCAGGATTCCCTTTGGTTCAGTTCTGACTTCCTCCAAGCATTGGCCTTGGCTCTCTTCCCCTCTGGGTTAGCCCAGGTAGGAAATGCTACTTTTCTACTCTGCTAGGTTGATTCAGCAAGCAACCAGTGCCATATAAATATGAATAGTTATGTTGATGATTCTTGGGAAAGGCTCTCAGGCAGAGAGCTCCTCAGCATCTCTTGGATCTGGTATATTAACCTGTGGCAAAAGAAACAGAACAGATAATATTACTGAACAATTGGAAGGCTATTTCATGAGGCTTCCTTTGGCGCTTAACATTCACAATTGGGTGCTAGGAGGTATTTATTAAATTTATCCCCACCCATCTCCCCCAAATGGGGGACTCTGGGCAACTCACAACTCATTAAATAAACAAACAAACAAACAAACAAATAAATAAATATACAATTACATAAAATCTAAATCCTGTATAAGAAAACAATT